CTTCTTTGCTCTTGCTGCTTTTAATATTCTCTCTTTGTCTTTTGCTCTTGGAATTTTAATTATGATGTGTCTTGGTGTGGTCCTCCTTGGATTCCTTTTTTGGGGGTTCTTCAGGCTTCCTGGACTTGTAAGTCTATTTCTTTCCCCAGGTGGGGGAAGTTTTCTGTCACTATTTCTTTCAGTATGTTTTTGGTATCTTGCTCTCTCTCTTCTTCTGGGATCCCCATAATTCTGATGTTGGTTCGCTTGAAATTGTCCTAGAGTTTTCTTACATTATCTTCAACTTTCTGAATTCTCTTGTCTTCTTGCTTCTGTGGAGGAGTGTCCTCTGGATCTCTGTGTTCTAAATCTTTGTCTTGATTCTTGCAATCTTCCAGTCTGTTTTTAGGACTCTGTGTAATATTTTTTATTTCAGAGAATGTTTTCTTCATTTCTAGTTGATCCCTTATTATTTCTAGTTGCTCCCTTTTCATATGCTCATAGGTCTGATTTATTTTATCGGCCTTTTTTAGGATATTGTTGAATAACCTTATAACTGTAGCTTTGAACTCAATGTCCAATCTTTTCTTTTCCTCCATCTCCTTCCTTTGTGTCCTGCCTCTTGCCTGCATTTTAGTTGTTTCCCTGATTTGATGGAATAGCTTTGTGTGCTAGGTGTTCTGGTAGAGCTCAGTAGCACAGTCTTCCCAGTTACCTGCGGTGGACAGTCTTGTTGTAGCTCTTTGTGGGCTGTGTGTGCCATCTTGTTGTTAAGCCTTGCTTTTTGTTGGTATCATTGGGAAGCGATGATCTCCAAGCCAATTGGCTGTGAAGATCAGCAGTGTCTCAGCTGGGAGGGCTTCTGTACTCAGCTTGGATGGGGTAGGGTCTCGGGGTGGCACAGACAATCTTTGGTTCCCTGTCAGTCTTGCCTTAGAAAAGTCCTGTTTGTGGTGAGTTTTGGAAGATTGGTTGCAGGTACACACACCTCTTTGGTAAAGGCGCTGACAAGCTTTGGATTCCGGCCAGTCCCTCCTTAGAGAAAGCCAGCCTCTGGGAGAGCTTCTGTGCTCAGCTTGGATGGGGCAGAGTCTTGGGTTGGTGCAGACAAGTTTTGTTTTCCTTTCGGCTCCTCCCCAAGTCCCGCAGTAATGGCCTCTGGCTTCACCTACCTCTGAGAGATCTCTGCCCACTGCCTGACAGTCTGGCCTCTCACTGACTGGGGCCGTCTATCAGAGCAATAGGGTGATTCTATTTTCCTCTCAAACAAGAAAGCCAGCCGTGCATTAGCTGTCATCCCCCTCCGCGTGCCGGGAATAAGCCAGTAGTGAATTTAGCCTGGCCGCCCTCTCCGTGCCCCTGGATTAAGCCAGCGCGTTCTCCGTACCTTCACAGTTTCTGAGGGTCGGCGCGCCTTCTTCCTCCTTCCCAGATGACAGAGCCTCCTCTCAGCTAGCCGTCCCGTGCTTCAGGGCAATGCCTCCCATTTTCCAGTTCTAAATTCAAATTTGTTGTGGTAGGCTGCATTCGGGTGTCTACCCTATGCTGCCATCTTGGTTTCCTCCCTCAGTTCATATATTATTATTATTATTATTATTATTAGAAGCCCGGTGCACGAATTTGTGCACAGGTGGGGTCCCTTGGGGTTGGCCTGAGGGGATCGGCCAAAATCCAGCCCTGCCGTGCCTGCCTCGGGCTCCCAGCCAGTCAGTCCCGACGGGGAGAGGCTCTCGCGGCAGCGGCACTTGCTAGCCCTGCATCCAGTGCCCGTCCTGAGTGGGGGGTGCTGGGACACACTGCGGTGGGATGCCTGGCTGGCCCAGGATCTGATTCCCACTGACCTCATGACAGTTGTCAGGAGCCACCTGGCAGCCACTTTTATATCCTTTCTTCCTTGCCGAGCATCTAGGGCGGGGAAGCGGCCACAGTGCCCGAGGCTGGCTTTCAGGAGGTGGCAGCGCTGTCGGGACCAATCATGCCAGCCAGGCCAGTCCGTCGGTGCCTGGCCCGTTCTCCCAAGACTGGGCCTGCAGGACTAGAGAGAGTGGCTGCCACCAGGATGAGTGGGTCAGCTGAGCGGCGCTCCCACTGTGGGAACACACTGATGACCAGAGGCAGCTTCTGCGTTGCATGTCTGCCCCCTGGTGGTCATTGTGCATCATAGTGACCAGTTGTTCAGTCATTCAGTCACTTAGGCTTTTATATATATAATTTTTCATATATGTTTATTGATTTCAGAGGGGAAGGGAGAGATAGATAGAAACATCAATGATGAGAGAGAATCATTGATTGGCTGCCTCCTGCATGCCCCATACTGGGACCAAGCCTGCAACTCAAGCATGTGCCCTTGACCAGAACGTACCCGGGACCCTTCATTCTGCAGGCTAATGCTCTATCCACTGAGCCAAATCAGGTAGGGCTTATTTTTAATTCTCCTGCAAGGATATCAAAAGGAATTCCCACCATTTGTGTATTACTCAATTATGTATTGGAAGATTGTTATTTTTATTAACATAATGCATGCATCTAATTTACAAAGTTAAGGCTTTTAAGGAAAAATAATAACTCTCTAAAGTCTTATAGCTATTTATTTGTTCAGGAACTTCTAGATAACCTGTTTACTCTGTATTTATTGGTTCTTTTTCTCTTTTTACATTACATTTGATTGAACTATATGAAATTGATAACAGTCAACTGTTTGAGCTGTAAAATGGCAATTTCATATGGTTCAACCTAATACCTGTTATTTTGACTTCCTATTGCTTGTTCAGCTGATTACTGTATTTTCCGGTGTACAAGATGACTTTTGAAACAAAAAAAGTCAGCCGAAAATCGAGATTAAAAGATGAAAATTGCACAAAAATTACTTGCAGATTCTGATGGCAAAGTAAGTCTTTTCTTTGAAGTGGGGGGTAGTCTTATATAGCGAATATAGGCCTAAACCTATGTTTTAACGGTAAAATTAGGGGGTCGTCTTATACGCCGGAAAATACGGTATGTGTCGTTGGAGTTGGCTCATTTCCTTTGTGAATCGTGGCTTTGCACTTGCCCTTCATCTGACCTGACTTGGGGATCAGACCCCACCAGCTCAACCACAGCTACAGGTTCCCGGACCGGGAGCCTTGTGCCTGTGTAAGACACGGGCTGTAGGATGGGAGGAGTTTGCTGTGACACCTGCCCCCCTAGGGCAGCTGGGGTGCCAGGCCTTAAGGGCTTCCTGGACTTGGTCTGCTCTACTGACGCCCACGGTGCCCGAGTCCTGTGCCCGCTGGCACTGATGCGTGGCCTGCAGGTCATGGCCGTGAGTCCAGCTCCCCCTGTCAAATTTTAGACCAATTATTGAACCCCTTGTGCCTTAATTTTCATCCTTCCAGTCAGGCTCCCGAGGTGTCCTTACCCTAACGCCATCGCTGGCCTTGGCCCTGAGCTCCTCCTCCAGGCCACTCTGTGTTCTCCTTCCTGTCCGGCGTGAGAGCGGCTGCCCAGGATTGGGGTCTCGGGGTCAGCTCCACCTCTGACCTGCTCCAAGACCCTGGCCGGGTGCTCCCCTGCTCTGGGCTTCTGTCTCCCCATCTGCGCCAGGAGGTGGTGGTGCTGATGGTCTGAGAGGCCTCCGAGTGCCGAGAGCTGTGGTGTCTGCACTGGTGGCCCCTCTCCTCGTCCTTCCATGGGGCTGGCCCTGCTCCTCTGCCCCAGGCACTGGAGGTCTTGGGCCAAATGGGTTGTGAGACTGTAGGTCCAGCATGTGGGGACCTTGGCAAACCCCCGTTCTGCTCTGGCCTCTGAGAGGGCTGGTAGCTGCACGTCTGTGGTTCACACAGCGAAGAGCTGGGTGCACACACCATCGTGCCCCTGCAGGGAGGGAGGAGCACTCGTCAGACTCACAGAAACGAATGTAAAACTGCAATTTGGATGAGTTTATGCTGCCAAATAGAGATTAATGGGGCCAAGACACAGTCTGGGGCAGCGGTCAGCAAACTGAGGCTTGCGAGCCACATGCAGCTCGCAAGCCGTGGTTTGCCGTTCTGTTGACTAGTGAGTTTGCCGACCACTGACTTAGGGAAAAACACTTTAAAAAAACATTTTAATAATGTACTAATGTCTTTAACCTGAAGTCAGAACTTCTGGGGAAGAGTAATGCCTTACGCAGTGGTCGGCAAACTCATTAGTTAACAGAGCGGCAAACCATGGCTTGCAAGTTTGCCAACCACTGGTCTGGGGCATATGAGTGGGCTTCTCTGAGGAAGACCTTCCTGAGGCCTGAAGGGGGCCCAGCAGGGGCTGACTAGGTGGAAGTGGAGAGAGCGTTCCAGGCAGAGGAGACAGCCAAGACCCTGCAGTGGGAGGGAGGCCGGTGGGCTGGAGCAGAGGCGGTGGGACGGGAGAGCAGAGGCACTGCCCAGCAGGGACAGGGAAGGCCTCGCCCGGGAGGGGATCTTCGGGCTGGCTAGCCACGGGAAGCCTTTAGACTGGTCTTCACAGGACCACCTCTCTTTTGAAAAGCAGCCTCTGGCTGCTAGGGAAAATGGCCTGAGGGAAGGGGAGGTTTGAGATTAGGCAGCCCAGAGGCGGGACTGCGATTGATGACAGTGGCTTTGTCCCGGGTGGGAACTGTTAAGATGGGTGGAAAGTGGTGGACTTGAGAGCTTAGGAGGTAGAACTGTGTGTAGGGGGAAACATCAGGCGATCCTGTGGCCGGAGCACCTGGAAGACGTGAGGCCCGGTTCCCAGTGGGGGAAACTGGCTTGACGGTGCCTCCAAGAGGCCTGCGGTACCCGCGAGGGGAGGCCTGGCTACAGAAGCACAGTCTGGAGTGCAGAGGCCAGGGCTTGGGAAGGAGCTATGGACAATGTGGAGGGCGGGAGGCCCTACGGGCACTTCTCAGGTGCCAGTGAGACCTTGCAGGGTCAAGTGTAGATCCTGAGGCGGGAGGGTCTCCCCAACTCCTGCCTAGCTCCTCGGGGCCCAAGGTTTAGGGGGAGGTGCCTCGAAGCCTCTCACTCTCCCCTCTCCCCCCACAGATCCTGCTGATTTCTGACTACTTCTACGCCTTCCTGCGGCGCGAGTACTACCTCACTCACGGTCTCTACCTGACGGCCAAGGACGGCACAGAGGCCATGCTTGTGCTCAAGTAGGCCGGGCCGGGCACAGGGCTGCACGGACTTCAGGGGGTGGACAGGCCAGAAGCGGGCCAAGCCCTCCAGCCGGAATTGCCAGCAGGCAAGTCCTCAGGCAGATGAGGTTCAAGTCCAGGGTCACAATCTTGGCACCAGAGGAGAGCCGGGCTGGCAGCAGGCCTGTGGGGCTCTGCCAGGCGCACCTCCACTTGGACCCACGGTTTTTGGCTCTGCGCACAAAGGAGCCCCTCCCGGACAGGAGGGGAGGAAGCAGGGAGCAGGGTTTGTTAGGCTGTTGACTTAATAAATTTTTTTTGGTATGAAGTCTACCCTGGGCCCACACTGCACTCCTGGAAGGTGTGGGCCCCTGATACTCCCGTGGTGCACGACACAGGGTGTGGGTTTCCAGAATGAGCCCACGTCCGCAGTGCACGGGTGAGCCGAGATGGCGCGGGACCGCCACCAGCAGCCCTCCCCACCCCCCAAGCAGCTGGAGGCAGAGGGCCAGGCTGGCCTGAGCAATCTTTATTCTGCAGAGGGACAGTGACCACAGATCCATACACCGTGTCAGACAGGTGAGCCAGGGGCCAGTCCTTCAAGGGTGGGTGGTTCCAGGCAGGAAGCAGAGTCTCGGGCGGGGGAGGGGCAGACAGGCAGGGGCCTAAAGTAAAAAAGACAAACCAGACAGAGCAGGGGTGGCGGGGCTGCCCCCCCCATCCCCCAGCCAGCACCCAGAGGGCAACCCTAACATGGCAGGCCCAGGGTCCGCACGGAGCAGAGGCGGAGTGGTTGGTGTCCCCTAAGGGGCAGCATCCCCGCCCCGCCCCCCAGGGGCAGAGGAAGCTCAGCTCGGGAGCCAGGAGCTCCCTGGGCAGGGCCTGGCACGGCCTCCCACTCCCCTCCCAACCCCTCCCCCTACTGCTGGCTCAGAAGCCGAAGGTTTCCTGCGAGGCGTAGACCATGTAGAGGAAGCCGTCGTCATCCTTCTCCTGCTCGTAGATGTCCGCGATGGGCGTGGACACGCTCACCATGCTGTGCTGGTTCACCAGCAGGAAGAAGGCCTGCGTGGGGTTCAGCTGCAGGCGGCGCCTGGCGGGCAGGGGGCAGGCCGCAGTGAGGGGCTTGGCTCCCTCCCCGACGACCCCGACTCCACACCCCCCCGACCTTGACCTTTCCCATCCTCCCAGGAGAGGGACCAGTGCCCAGCCCACGGCCACTCCCACTCGGGAGGCCCTGGCGCGGCCCAGCAGGACCCGGCCCCCTGAGGACGGCTGCCCGCGCACCGGATTATCTTGACCAGCTCGCTCATGTTGACGTGGTCGGGCACCAGGAACTTGGTCTTGTCCAGGACGGGCAGCTGCTTCTCGCCCTTGTAGCGCTCGATGATCACCTGGGACGGGGCGGGGCGGGGCGGGCGTGAGCGCGGGCGGGCGGGCCGGGGCGGGGCGGGCGGGCCGGGGCGGGGCGGGCGGGCCGGGGCGGGGCGGGCGGGCGGGCGGGGACTCACCGGGATCTTGCTGGGGTGCTGGTCGCGGATCTGCTGCACCTCCTTACAGCGGTCGGCTGCGGAGGAGGGCGGGCGGTGAGGCTGGCCCTGGGTCCTCCGTGCCCTGCGCCCGACTGTCCTGGAGGGGCGGCCCGGCCGCACCCCCGAAGCCCCCGCCCCCGGCCGCTTGGCCGGCCGGACCCCGGACCGGGTTGGGAGGGCCTCGGCCAGAATCTGCCTCCCAGCTTGGGGTCCGGCGGGGGGCTGACGTCACAGGGCTGACGTCACCTTCGGCTGGAGGTTGGGTCGCGCCCCCAACTCCCCCCCCCTCCCCCCAGATCGCAGATCGCCCGCCAGGCCTCACCGAAGCTCCGCCGCTGCTTGAAAGGCCGGTCCGAGGGCATCTCGCGGGCCCGGCGGGGCGCAGGCCGGGGCTCCGGCGGGCGGCGGTGCGGTCCGGGCGCGGGGGCTCCTCACCTCGCGCTCACGGGCTCGGGCTCACGCTGAGCCCGGCGTCCGAGGCTCCGGGAGGTAACTCGCTCGGGTGACGTCAGGTCACAACATTCCTTAAAGGGGAGGCCGGCGCGCTGCTCCCATTGGGCCGACGCAAAACCCGCCCGCCGGGACCTTGACGTCAGGGCGCAGAGCCTGGAGTCCCCGCCCGCACCAGGAAGGGGCGGCTCCCGGGCGTCACAGTCGCGTGACGTCACGGCCGGCGTGGGCCCCCCCCCCCCCCCCAGGCCGGCTGCGCGGAGGCTGGAAAGCCGGGAGGCTGCGGCTCCGCATCCTCTCTCCCTGTCCCCGCCACTGACAGGCACACCCGGGCTGCTAGTCCAGGGCAGTGTGAGGTGCTGAGGATGGCAGATCCAAAAAGTCTGGGGCTTTTGGTTAGAGAACGGTAAAGGCGGGTGGGCGAGATCAAAACATGAAAGAGCAAGTCTCTAAAAAGGAACAGCTTTTAAAAGAAATCCCTAGAATTGAAAAATAGAGCTATTGACATTCAAGTCTCGATAAGGCAGGCGAGCAGACTGCACACAGCAGAAGAGAATCTCTGAACTGGAGAATAATCAAACAATTAACTAAGAAACAAGGGGATAAAACGTAAAGGAGGGAGTGGAAAAGTAAAGTGAGACCTCACCTGTCCGATCAGAATTCCAGAAGAGAATATAGTAGAGGCAGTGCCTTAAGAAGAGTTTCCAAAATTGAAGACCAGGATCCTCACGTAAAACCCAGAGCAGGATAAATGAACTAAAAGCACCTGGGCATTTCGCAGTGAATCTGCAGAACCTGAGAGATGGGGCAGTAGATGGAAAATGGTGAGCAGCTAAACTGGTAAACATGTAAGTCATCTAAACAAGCGCCTAATTAGAACATGAATGGCGATGATTAATTTGTGGAGTGCAAACAAGGAGCATGAAACAATAACTAGACGGGCGAGGGGAATCAGAGCTCAGGTGTTTTAAGAAGCTTGGTTTGTTTGAGAGGAACTGGAGGAGAATAATTGTCCAGCTTCTATAGTCGAGCTTGTATTTCAGACACTTAAGAGGAATCACTAAAAGAATAGAAAGTATGACTTCTAAGGTAGAAAAGAGAAAAAGTTAGTAAAGGGTATTAAAATATAATGGCAGGCAGAAAAGAAGAAAAAGAGAGCAAAGTAAAAAAACTTATTTAAATGGTGCCAAACCAGAGGTAGGAAATGTTTTTTTTTTAAATATATTTTATTGATTTTTACACAGAGAGGAATTGAGAGGGATAGAGAGTTAGAAATGCCGATGAGAGAGATACATTGACCAGCTGCCTCCTGCACACCCCCCATTGGGGATGTGCCCGCAACCAAGGTACGTGCCCTTGACCGGAATCGAACCCGGGACCCTTCAGTCCGCAGGCCAACACTCTATCCACTGAGCCAAACCGGCTTCGACTAGAGGTAGGAAATGTTCTACATTCATCTGCTAAAGCAGAGGTGATCAAGTTGGTCAAGAAAAATAAAATGCAGCTTCATGCCACTTACCAGAGGACATTTAAGATCTCAGGACACCAAAAGTTTTTTAAGAAAGTATACTTGAGAAAAACTAACCAAAAGGTATCTATAGAAAAATCGGACAAAACAGGCTTTAAGGGAAAAGTCATTATTAGGGATAAAGGAGAGTCACCAGTCCAGTCAGCTTAGCTCAGTGGTTGAGTGTCAACCTATGAACCAGAGGGCAGGGCACAGGCCCGGGTTGTGGGCTCCATCCCCAGTGCTGGGCGCGCAGGAGGCATCCTATAATGATTTTCTCCATCGATATTTCTCTCTCTTCCTTTTCTCTGAAATCAATACAATTTTTTAAAGAGGTTCACCACAAAATGACAAGTTTTCAAGAAAGATGTAACAATTTTAAACTTGTATGTTAGAGGTTTTTAAAAGGGTTGAAAATGTATAAAGAAAAAGTGACAAGATATTATACAAAGGAAAAGTGTCAAATCCTGTAGCATTGTGTTTTTTTTTTGTTTTTGTTTTGTTTTTAAATATATTTTATTGATTTTGTACAGAGAGGAAGGGAGAGAGATAGTTAGAAACATCATTGAGAGTCATCAATCAGCTGCCTCTTGCACACCCCCTTACTGGGGATATGCCCGCAACCAAGGCAACATGCCCTTGGCCGGAATCAAACCCGGGACCCTTCAGTCCCCAAGCCGACGCTCTATCCATTGAGCCAAACCGGTCTCGGCTCAGATCCTGTAGCATTGTAGGAGATTTTAATAGTCCTGACCAATGGATCCTGACAAAACCATGAACCCAATCCAGTATTTTACTTTCAAGCACACAAGAAACCTTTATAAGAAAATTACCTAACTACTGGACCCCAAGGTACAGCTCAACAGATATCAATGATTCCATTTCATACAGACCACATTCCCTGACGATAGCCATGAGCGAAATAAACATCAAATGTTTGAACATTTAAACATTCTTCTAAACTTATTACTCAAAGATAAAATCATATAGAAAATAAAACTGGCTAAAACAAAAAATGAGAAACATAAAAAATTGGGGGAGGGGCATAGTAAGCTGCAATTAGAAAATTTATAACTTTATTAGGTAAGAAGAAATGTGGAAAATGGGCGGTGTCAAAGCATTTTTAAAAGGGACAACAGCCCTGGCTCAGCTGGTTGGAGCATCGCCTGTGCACCAAGAAGGTGGTGGGTCTGATTCCCAGGTTGAGGGTGGATCTCTGGTTAGGACATATATGGGAAGCAACTGAGAAATGCTTCTCTTCTTTCTTTCTCTCTCATCAATAAGACAAAACAGTCGGTGAGGATTAAATTTTTTTAATTAAAAAAAATGAATAACAGTGTAAAAAAGAAAAGAAAAGGTGAGGGAAGATAATAATGAAGAGCAGAAATTGATGAAATATAGCCAAAACCGGTTTGGTTCAGTGGATAGAGTGTCAGTCTGTGGACTGGTGGCTGGCACATCCCCAGAAGGAGGTTACAGGAGGCAGCTGATCCATGTTTGTAACTCTCTATCCCTCTCCCTCTCAGTAAAAAAAAAAATCAATAAAATATTATATATTATATTATTAAATATTATGTATTTTTATTGATTTTTTTTTTACAGAGATGAAGGGAGAGGGATAGAGAGTTAGAAACATCAATGAGAGAGAATCATTAATCAGCCGCCTCTTGCATACCCCCCACTGGGGATGTGCCCACAACCAAGGTACATGCCCTTGACCGGAATTGAACCTGGGACCCTTGAGTCCGCAGGCTGACACTCTATCAACCGGTTTCGGCAATAAAATCTATTAAAAAAGAAAGAAAGAAAGAAATTGATGAAATATAGAACGAAAACACTAGTATGGACCACAAAGCTAGATCTTTGAAAAATACAATAAACACTAATTTCAGAAGATACATAAGTATGATATTATCAGAAATGACAACAATAAGATTAGACGCTCCATGCCAGTAAATTTAAAACACAGATGAAATGGACAATTTTCTAGGAAAATATCACTTGCAAGACTAATGCAAAAAGAAAGACACATTCCTCAAAAAACCAACTAGTCCAAATAGTTTTCTACGTGAGCTCTCCCAAAATAAAAGCAAAACCTCACCTGCAGCAAACATTATACCTAATGGTAAAACACTACAGTATATGATAAAATGTTAAGCATTGCTTTCTTTAAAGCCAGGGACAAACTAAAACTTTTTCCCCCCGGAACAAAACGCAGTCTTGTTTGGAAGTCCCCGCCAGAGCGCCGGGACAAGGGAAAGAGAGAGAACGGTCATTCAGGCAGACTGACCACAGAATCCACACACTGAAGAACCGCTCACTGGGAAAGTCTGACAACTCGAGACCAAGTTTTAGAGGAATATGGGAACTTCTTACACTGCTATGGGAGTGTAAATCGTTTTAGCCACATTGGAAAGCAATTTTGCAAAATCTACTAAAGCTGAAGATGCCCATAACTTTTTTTAAAATATATATATTTTATTGATTTTTTACAGAGAGAAAGGGAGAGAGAGAAACATTGATAAGAGTCATTGATCAGCTGCCTCTTGCTGGGGATGTGCCCACAACCAAGGTATATGCCCTTGACCAGAATCAAACACGGGACCCTTCAGTCCGCAGGCCGAAACTCTATCCACTGAGCCAAACCGGTTCCGGCGAAGATGCCCATTTCTTATAAACCAGGAATTTCACTTCCGAGTACATAGGACCAGGGAAACTCAGGCTCGTTTATCGGAGCATTTCATAATGGCCCCCAAAAAGGGCCCCCCGTACATGACCAATTAAATGTGTTGAGTATTCCTGTAACAGAACTACACACAGTGAAAAGGGAAGGGGGAGTTGGCAAACGTTCCCTTTAAAGGCCAGAGAGTAAATGTTTTGGGCTTTATGGGCCACATGGTCCCTGGCAGCCACTGTTCTGTAGGGCGTGGAAGCGGCATGACCACTGGAACGGGCATGGCTGTAGCCCAGTCACGTTATTTCCTAAAACCCATTTGGCCTTAGTTCGCTGACTCTTGATCTAGAGCCGTGTGTGTCGTGTGGACACAGCTCACAAACGCCAAGTTGCAGGAGACTGAGTGGACCTCAGCCAGAAAGAGCGAGCGGAGAACTAGGTCGGGTATGGCCTTGGGGAGTGGTTACACCTCTTGTCAGACTGGCCCAGCTGAGGCTGCAGTGGGGGAGGGGACCATCCCTCAGATCTCAAGGTCTGTGCTCACTCTTCCTCTTAGCTGACCAGTCAGCAGGGCTAGCACACCTCCTCCAGTCCTCTGGTCTCTCTCCTCCCTGCTTCCTCCTCTCCCCCATCTTGTCTGACTGCAAAGGCCTGGCCTTGTCTCTACCTGGAAGTCTAGCAAACATCACAAACATGACCACCCCCAACTGAACCCGTGATCTTCCCCTTAC